GGAGCCCTCCTGCAGTGCAGGTATCTGCACGTTTTGCTGGTGGCAAATCCCTCTGGGTTGCTCTGCCACAGGTTGCATTTTGGCAGGGGCATTCATCATTTCGCTGATGAAATGCTAAGGCACGGCAGAGTCCAGCATTTGGGAGAGCCAAGGCGCAAGGCTCACACCCATTGAGTCCCACGCACACACGTTAAGGCGTGATGGAGAATTGCACAGCGGGCTGTGCAGCCCTTCCTCTGCGAAGGGGACCAGGGCTGGTAGGTGAGATGGAGAACTGCCTGCACAGAGGGGAAGGGAGAAAGCCCTTGAGCTCAGGATAACCAGAGGCCTCTTCTCGGCGTGCCACACCCTGGCCGTCCCCTCCTGCTCCCCACTGGTGGGGACCCCCCGCCCCGCCACAGACAATGCACCAGTTTTTCGGGGAGGACCTGTCGGCAGGGGATAAAAGCCTCCGTGGGGTCTGCAGCTCAGCTACGGGGTCTGTGTCCTCCTGCAGCTCTGAGCAAAGCCGCCTGCCACCATGGTGCACTGGACAGCTGAAGAGAAGCAGCTCATCGCCAGCCTCTGGAGCAAGGTCAACGTGGAGGAATGCGGTGCCGAGGCCCTGGCCAGGTAGGTCCAGCTCTGGGGCATCTGCTCAGCTGTACCATGGGGAGAGAAGCTGCGGCAGTTGCATTTGGTAGCAGTAACCTACCTGTGTCTGCTTGTGTCCCTCCGTCTCGCCCCAGGCTGCTGATCGTCTACCCCTGGACCCAGAGGTTCTTCGCTTCCTTTGGGAACCTCTCCAGCCCCACCGCCATCATCGGCAACCCCAAGGTCCGTGCCCATGGCAAGAAAGTGCTCACCTCCTTCGGGGAAGCCGTCAAGAACTTGGACAACATTAAGGCGACCTACGCCAAGCTGTCCGAGCTGCACTGCGAGAAGCTGCACGTGGACCCCGAGAACTTCAGGGTGAGATGTGTTTGCAGTCCCAGCCCTTTCCCTGTGTCATGTGGGGGAAGTCAGATTTTGCTTTGAAACTGGGGGTATTGCCTCCAACGACGCTGTCTTGGGGCGCTTGCTTTGGCTGGTGAAGGCAGAGTCCCTGTGTGGTACCCAAGCGAGGTGACAGCCTGTGCAGGACTCTTTGCAAGGATGTGGGTGACTTTCACACTACCAGCACAGCGGTGGGGAGGAGAAGGTGTCGGGAGATTGTTACCTGAAGGAGATCTCGCTGGGGACAAAAGAAACAAACCCAGGGGAAGATGCAGCATGGGCTGGAGGAGTCAAAGGCAGAGGGGAGCGGAGCAGGGCATTTAAGGGAATCGTAGGTCCTACAGACAGAGAAGCAGCTGGTGTGCTCGAAAACTGCAGAGCAGGTTTCTGCCTTGCCCAGCACCGGCTCTGCCTGTCTGGATGGGACACTTCTTCCTCCTCTTTAAAAAAAATGGATCATTTTGCCGGGTGGGTCTCAGGCAAAATTGCTTTAGCATCCCAAAGATAGAGGGAAATAGTTTCAAGGTTTGTTCTTTCATCTTTCGTTCGTTCTTTTTTTTTTTTTTAAAAAAAAAGAATGAAGCAAATACGGTTTTCCCCAAACCCTGAGCTTTCTATGGAAAGACTGAGGATTTTTTTGTAACAACCCCAGGGAACGGGGAGTCAGCCAGTCCCTGTAACCAGCCCTGCAGCCTGATGAGGCAGGGCTGCCAGGGAGGAAGAGGAGGAGTGTGCAGCACATGAGAGTCCTTTCAGGAGGGGAATTCAGCCTCAGGGAGAGGTCAGGAGAAAGGAGACGCAGCCTGTGGGTTGCAGGGTGGTGTCTGGGGGGGGGACGGGACAGGAAGGAGAGGGACCGGAGGGAGGAAGGTCTGCAGCAGGAAAACCAGGGAGACCGAGAGCTTGCATAAGGGAAGAAGCTGTTTAGAGCTAAAGACATGGCAGGACAGGGTGGAGTTGTGTGCAGCAAGAGCGTGGAGCCTTCTTCGGGAGGTGGGGGGTCCAACAGCTCAGCCTGGGCTGGGGGATGTCCAGTCCCTGCTCCATGGTCTGCTGCGGCACAACGGTCCACGCAGCACTAACCCCATCTGTTTCCCTCTTTCTCCTCCAGCTCCTTGGAGACATCCTAATCATTGTCCTGGCTTCCCACTTTGCCAGGGATTTCACCCCTGCTTGCCAGTTTGCCTGGCAAAAGCTGGTCAGTGTCGTGGCTCACGCTCTAGCTCGCAAGTACCACTGAGCATCCCGGGATGGGCCGTGCGAGGAAGAGTCCTGCTCCGCCTCAGGCACCTCTGAGCACAAGGAGATGCCCTTTGGGTACTGACAAGCTGTAACCACCAAATAAATGCCTCCCGGCACCATGCCTGCAGCGTCTCCCTGTCTCTGTGCTGGGGAAGGAGGGGGACATGGGGAGTTTGTGCTGTTTAATGCGATGCCGTCTGCGTGTGGGTGTATTTCTTGTTCCTAAGGGCTGTTGCAGACAGTTTCCTTAACGCTGCGGTGCTCTCTGATGTGTGCTCCCTGCCAGTGCCTGCACGGGGGTCTGTGAACCCACGCAAAGGGTCCCGGCACCCGGGAGTGTTTCAGAGAGGATCACAGGAAAAATGGGGGAGTGCAAAGAATCCACATCTGTTCTCCCAGCTCTACACTAATGTGAAATAAGGTGAAGCCAGCGCTGTCCGGAGCACAGAGTTCCCAGCCGAGCCGTTGCTGCTCTCAGGGAGCTGGCACCTGCCTTGCCCTGCTCTAGGGCTGGAGATGTGTGATCTCTTTTTAGAGCAGCTGATACAGGAGAAAACCCTTGAACTCAGACTCTTGGGATGTTTGGGACATGTCCACTTCTTCTAGCTGTATCAGTTGGCCTAACAGGAGATAGCAGACCCTCATCCCCAGGCACCCACAGTCCAAAAGACCCCCTCTCTCTGGGCTGAGGGCATTCAGTTCCCAACATCACTGGGCAAACAAAACCCACTGTGCCAGCTGATATCTGGGCTTTGTCGTGCCTGGCCCTCCTTCTGCCATCCAAGGGGCCTTCGTGGTGCATAGAGCAAGGCTGTGGGTCAGGCTTGGTTATTTATTTATTGGGACAAAGGGGACAAGTTCCTTTTTTTTTTTTTTTAGCTATTTTATTGTACAAAACAGGAAAAAACATGCTTGCCAAAGGGCATGGCAAAAAGCACTGCTGACTCCAGGAAGGTGAGGGAGCAGATACGGAAGAGCTGAGACACACGGGGGTACAGGCTAATTGCCATGAGCAAAGACCGCAGCATCCCTGGCATGGTGGAGAGAGACAGCCCAAGGCCAGCGAGGGCCAGCACGGAGGAGACATGATGCAGGGCTGGTGGAGGGTTTGGTCTGCTTTTCTAGCATACAGAATAACACAATTTCCAATGCTCGTAGTGACATGGACAGAACAAATTGAGGTGGAAATCTGGGGTAAGATATCCTTCACACCCAGGGAATGTGGTTAGCAGAAAGGCTGTGAACACGGGGCTGGTCCAGTGCTCGCCCTCATGAGGTGCTCTTGGTGTCCCCTCATTTCTTAGGAACCGCAATCTGCACAGCCCAGATTTAGTTCAGGTCTAATTCAGAAATGATAGAAAACTCCTGAATCCCTATGAATTGCGTCGTGCAGCCCTGAAACGATGGAAGCTCACACTAGCAGGTTGATGCATTGTTCCCCTCTTTCGCGGCAGCTGCTCCCAAACCTGAGGCAGCACTGCAAACCTGTGATAAATGAGCACACCGTTTTGCTTTGGAAAGAAAGGAAGGGAATTTACACCATAACAGCACAGACTAACAACTGATTTTGTGAGAGGAGGATTGCTTCTTGTGAAAATTGGTAGGAAAAGACATTAGGAAATAGTGTTGAATTACATAAATCAGAGAACAATTGTGATCTGTGGTTGGATACCTGCTCTTCCTCAGCCATCGGGAGACGTCACCTCTCCTCCTGGAAACTGCCCTCCTGCAGACCCACCATGAAAATGGGACCCTCAGGTTTGCAAATCGTGGGATGGAAGGTAAAACTTTGTATTTGTCTCATAATAGACATTGTTTGCAGTTTTTACAGGTGTTAAGAAAAAGATTTAGTCAAATATCTGTGCTAGGATAATTAATGGAGTCTGTGCAATGAAATATGCGGTGGTGTGAGTTGTGCTTGTGCAAGAAGCATTTGTGTTTTCCCTA